TTTAATGAAGCCAACAAAACAGAATCATCATTTTTTTAAGACAAGTTTTCATTGTGCTACAGACTGACTTCTTCATATATCTTCTCTCCAAGCAAATGCTTAATGGGTTGAAGTGTTCTAAAAAATATCTATGATCATTTTTTCCAATAAAGTCTCTTTTTAAAAGCCCGAATGAAGCCAAATGTAAATATACTGTAAACACTGTCTCTTCTGGTTCATAGTCTCCAAAAAACACATTTTACTCAATTATCAAAATAAAAATAAAGACAATAACCCAACAAAGTTTAAACAAAATCAGCACTAAGGGAAATGATCAAGACAACATTGAACTTTGGACTCTGTGTATTAGAGCACCGCCTACTTTGCACCTAATACATGCCAGCCAACACTCTAAGTCAGTCCTGTGGCTCGGAGGCTGCGAGACCTGAGCGTCTCTGTCCTTCAGGGGAGGGTGCTGTGTGGGACAGACTCACCCACAGACAGATGCAGCCATAAGTATGGGGTGTGGTGTGAGGGGTCAGTAGTGGGTTGACCTAGTCAAGATAATGGGCTCACTCAGGATAACCAGTTTAGATGGTGAAGAGGAAAGGAAATGGCATCCAGGCAATAAGAGGCAGGCAACAACCCTGGAGTCCAAATCCCGGCTCATGCCCTATGCAAAGGGAGGAAGGAGGTGGGAGGAGGAAAGGTCCTGAGCTGGTCCCTTAGTCCTAGACTCTGTGTCTTCATCCATAGAATGTCCTCATGGGACATTGTGAGAATCACTCAGCACTCCACAGGTCCTTAGCTCCAGCTATCACACTCAGAAAGCCTGTCTACACAGTTGCTTGCAAGTACCTACTGGTTACTCAATGCTATGTTCTGATTGTTGGTGTCTCTCAAGAATTCACATGTTGAAACCTAGGGCACAATGCAACAGTATTAAGAGGTAGGGCTTTGGGGAGATGATTAGACCCATGAGGGTGGAGCCTCATGCATAGGCATAATGCCCTTATAGGAGATGCTCAGGGGAGTTTGCCTTCCCTTCTGCCATGTGAGGATGCAGCAAGAAGGCACTATCTTTGAAATGGAGAACACTCAGGAGACACAAATCTGCTGGCACCTTAATCATGGACTTCCTAGCCTCCAAAATTGTGAGTAACAAATTTCTGTTTATAAATTACCCAGTCTGAGATATTTTGTTACGACAGCCTGAACAGACTGAGACACCCAGCATGTAGGGCCTTCAGGTACACTAACCCCCTTTTTTTCCCCCAGTTCTGTCAGCTTTATTTATATTAAGTGTCCTATCCAGTGCGTTTTTTTACTTTAAATACCATATTTTTACTGTAAGTTTTCTACATTTAGCTACACAGATACTTATTATGTTACAATTGCTTATAGTATTCACTAACCCACTTTCATGATTTTAAATATGAGTATGTCTACAGGAACAGAGCAAAGAGCAGGAAGTTCAGGACACCACAGCCTTCAGTCCAAAGTCTCTGACTCTGTGGGAAGTGGAACAAGTTAACTTAACCTTTCATTTTTCTATTGTATGAACCCTTACAGTCCTCATAAAAAAAGCCTTATGTGACAGTATGTGAGAATGGGTGATTCCAGTTAAGATGCAGCCCTCTCTAATCTTCCCAGGACAGAGAAAATATCCCATCCCCATCGCTTCAGGAACTCTCTCAGGTCACTTATGGTACTTATAGCCATCAGCTTTGTATAGATGCTAGTTACATCCAATCCAACCACCTTCTTTGCTGCAATTTCTCTGAAAACCGAAAGCATACCCAGTCTAGCTCCTGATCTTATACTGTTGCAAGTAGAAAAATTCTTGTGCATTCATCCTTAAAACTCATGGGAACAAAAGAATTGTGTGAGATGAGTTGCAAATGAAAATGAAGAATTTTCTAAAGCAATATCCACCAGCCTTCAGAAATTTATATTTAAAAATAAGAAGAGCAGCCCCCATTTAATGAACACAGACCATGCTGAGACATTTACATGTGTTTAACCCTTTAACAGAGAAAAGAATTGTATGCAAAAGGATAAAAAACTCTTCTATTATAAAATGGGAACAGAGAGTAAAGGAAACAAGAAGATTACAAGATGTCATACCAAATAGCATCACATCAAATGAAATGAAATAATTTCTCTTGAAAATACAAGAAAAACTTTTTAGCTAAGTTTGGAAGAAATTGTCTTTACCATCTTAAAGGTAGAATTTTATTTTTAAGTTATAGATGAAAAAAAACTTTAAAACACCGAAATTATATTTTTGTATTTGCAACCAAAACATCTAAAATAATTTAAAACAAATTCAGGAACTAAATTGAAAAAAAAAATTCAGACTGTGCTCTAACATGCCAAATTTTAATCTCAACCAAGTTTTTACGATTCTGTCATAAACCCCAGAATGAAATAAAGAATAGAACAGTAAGAGAAAGAGAAAATGGGATTTATAATGGAAATGCTGACAGGCCATTTTCCAAATGCCAAAAATAAAATATAATTGGCTTTGAAATGACCATCTTTAATAAGAGTCATGCACAACAGCTACAAAAATGAAGAAAGATTTTTCTGATAATTCACAATACTTAGAGACAAGAAGCAGCAAGTGTCAAGAAGCATGGTAAGAAATTTGTTTTTAAATGTGAAACTTACAATACTAGAGAAACTTGCATATGAGATTCATGAAAGAAAAACTTTAACTCAAGAATGACAATATTTGACGAATTTAATCAGGTCTCCTCAAATTATATTATCTAAAGACTCATAGGGAGTCTAGAAAAACTGACCAAATACACAACTACATAACATTCCAAGACAGACATTTTAACATTAGCAATCTTTATCTTTAAATTTTATATATTGCATTTTGAGAATAATACATCAAATTTTTAAAATGCTATTCATCAAACTTTAACCTCTAAATCTATGTGCAGACTAAGTTTTTCAAGAAACCACTTGCTCTCTAGATTTACATCTAATTTCTCATGCAAAGAGCCATACCCTTTGCTTTCTGTTGGCATCAGTCAGGTGTGGCTCAAATCAGCATGTGCTGAGTGGGCAGATGCCAGGGTCTAGGTACTGCAAAGGTACAAAGATGACAGAAACCATAATCTGCACTCAGGTATCTTAAAGTCAAATGCCTTTGCCCGGAAGTTTCCCTAAATACATTTAGCAAATCAGACTTATACTTTAACATTCCACATCAAAATATTAGCTATAAATATCTCATTAAGTTGCACCCAAATTTAAAATGAATTGTAACACCTAAAAAAGAAGATGAGTATTAGGCTAACAGTCATTTAAAAAGTCAATGACTCATTGACTTTTAAAAGCTCAGAAATATATAAAGTTTAATCATCAAATCTTTAACTCTACTTAATGTTGACATATTTCTGTAAAATTGTTAGCATAAGCTCAAGGATCTCAAGAACAAAACAGTATGCATAATCCTACCATAAATCACCAAACAGATTCCTTTTCGTCACAGCACTTCACAGAAGAAATAAAAATATAAGATACTACACACAGCACCAATTTGACGAACATAACTTTGTTTTTGAAGTTTGCTATCTTAATGGCCTCATAAAGAAGTTACAAAATTCTTCAAAGGGATTCTTCATTTTTCTGAGGGACCTACTGCACAGTGTTTAAAAGCATGTTTGTTCTCCTTTTATTTAGTAAGAGTCCGTGCAAATAAAAAAAGATACAGAAAAATAATCATTCTGTTCTTCAGCAACTACCTCCAGACTAGTAGTTCCCAGAGTGTTACACAAACCAAAAAAGCCTTCTCCTTTCATAACGTGAAATAGCCATTAATAATCTGCCAAGGAGATATGATCAGAAAAAAACATCAAGACACGATGCCTGTCTGAGGGCTCAAAGGTCTCCCTCCATGACCAGCATGCCCATAGCCCAAGCAAGGAGGTGGGTTTCCCCACTCAGACAGCCTCCAGGGGTCTTCCCAGGCTTAACCCAGAGCTTTGGCTACACCCCTGCTAAGTCCCTGGACCGGCTTCTCTTCAGAGACGTGCAGACTGGCACAGGTGGAACGTCTTCCTGGACATACACCTGAATTCAGGGGCCTCTCAAGCTGTACTCCCGAACAGCCTTCCTGAGACCCCAACACCTCTAGCCCCCGACTCCAAAAGAGACACTGGAATAAATGTGCTTCAACGTAATTGAACTCCACAACCTAGAATTTGTACTCTCTCCCCCATCTGAAATGACTAAAAATCTCACAAGCTATCAGACCATGCCTGCCCTGTTAAACAAAAATTTAAAGTAAGTTTCACAAAGATGTTAAACTGTGGACAGCAAAGTCTCTTTGACAAACATAGTAAACTTCACTTAGCAAAACAACACCCTTGAATAAAGACACAAACGTCAGAAGGCACTGTTAAGTAAATTCTTAACCTGGAAAGCCTTTCTAATCATATATATAACAAAAAACAAAACAAAAACAAAGTTTTGTTCACAAGTCTTAGATGTTCTTTGGGATAACAAAGTGTCTTTTAGACTGAACAGTTATGACACAATGAATTCATCAAAACAGTCTTCTCCCCCACCCCACCCCATCCCGTGGATATGTTTAAACTGTGTCTCTGTCAAAGTGGACTGGCTGTATCCAAGACCTTCCACCTGGGAAGACAAGCCATCGCTTCAGCAAGGCTGCTCCACAGTCCCATAGACTCTAAGTTTCTTCCATTCATTCCAATTACTGCTTGAAATACCTAAACCCTACCAAGTTTTAAGTGAGAATATATTACTAGCAAAGTATAAATATGGGCCCATCAAAGACAAAAGTACAAAAATTAACATTTAGTACAATATTAAAGTATCTGCTAAGGTCAAACATCAAGGTTTAGAATGCTAATAATTCATAAGAATTAACACTGAGTTTAGAAGCAAACAGTTCTGAGTTGCATCATACATTCGCAACTGCTAAACACTTTAAGCACACAATTTTAAAAATGATGTATACTGTCCAAAAACTTACTCACTTTATTTTGGCAAATTTGATGGACAGGCCGTGAATGGGCTTCTGCTACCACTGCTGCACTGCAGCTGACATTGAGGTCGAAAACTTCCAAGGTTCTGTTCCTGCCAGCTGCGAGTACAATGTCTGCATAATTCTGTTAGGGAGCGCCACTCAGTGATCTCGCCCTGGGGAATGGACAGTTCCCTCTTTCATTAATAAATGTTGGAACCTTAGAAACTCACAAAAGGATGACCAGTTAAGAACGTCTGAAGTTCCACAGGAAAAGTTCTGAGTCCAGTCTAGATCCCTCTCATCCAGTCCCAGGCACTGGCAAAGCAACTGGGCAAGGGTGGAAGAGCTGCTGAGGAAGAGGGAGACCACGGGCATGTCTATTTTGATGTGGAAGTTCTACTTTTAGAGACATGGTGCTGAGATGTCCATAAAATGCCATGTTGAGACATTACATGCAGTTGACTATGCAAATTCTGGGCTCAGTAGACCGGTTTGACTAAGAGGAGACAACAGAACTCCCGGAGGGGATGGCATTATCAGGCAGACTTCACAGGTGAAGTTCACAATCTCTGTGAAGTGTGTTGTCAGGAAACTGGAATCCTTCAAAATATGGTATATGAAGCACAGTTTACAAATTTAGGGCTCATGTAACCACCAAAACTACCTAACCTTCAGTGTTCACCCCTGAGTACTGTTATAAAAATCACACATGGTAGAAATACAAAGAGAACTAGATTCAGTGGTAAATCCAATGCTAACACCAAAATATGCCAAAACTCCAATTTAAGCTAGAACAATCAAAATGACATTTTTTGCTAGGTGTTTTTTTTTTTTTTGAAGCAAGAATTCTAGCATAAAAATACCACATTTCTAACTAAAATATACTAGAACCTCACAGTACTTTCAGTTCAACTATAAAACCCTTCAGTAGAGAGCAACTTAGATCCTTGAATAAATTAAAATTTTATAAAATTAATTCCTAAAGATCAGTTTTTCTTATAAATAAATTAAAATTAATTTTTTAAATTAAAAGTGAGGTTAGCAAGACTGGGCACAGTGGTTCACCCCTATAATCTCTGTACTTTAGGAGGATATGATGGGAGGACTGCTTGAGCCCAGAAATTCGAGACAAGCCTGGGCAACACAGCAAGACCTTATTTCTACAAAAAAAAATTAAAATTAGCCAGGAGTAGTAGTGCACACCTGTTGTCTCAGCTACTTGGGAAGTGCAGTGAGCCATGATCATGCCACTGCACTCCAGTCTGGACAACAAAAAGACCTGACTCAGGAAAAAAAAAGAAAAGGTGATACAAAACTCAAAGCTTGGGACTCTGTTTCATACTCTACTGAACAGCAACTATTATGAGGGGGGACCCCAAAAAAACAAAATTTGGTTATTAGAAAATTGTGTATCTATTCTTACATGTTGAAACTTCAGTCACCTTCAAAGTATTTTCCATTTGATGCAATACACCTATTGAGACGCTTTTTCCACTGCTCAAAACAGTGTTTGAACTCATCAATTTGGATGCCTTTTAGTGCTTCTGCCATGTTTTGTTTCACCTCTTCCACATCAGTAAAACATTTCCCTCTGAGAAGTTTTTTCATGGGAGAAACAAACAAACAAAAAAAATCCCTCAGGCAAAACTGGGAGAATAGAGAGGATGGGCACAGGGGTCATGCTGTTTTTGATCAAAAACTGCTGAAAGAGTGGGGGGAGAGAAACTGCTGAATACCCAGCATGGTGTGGACAGATGTGTTGCCATGGTGGAAGAACCAGTCACCTTTTGCCACAGCTTGGGAAGGTTCTTCTGCAAATTGTGACACAACCTTCTCAAAACTTTCAGATAAAAACTGGTTGACCATTTGATCCAGAGTAACAAATTCTGACTGTACCACAAGGGACCTGCACTCCAAAAGATAATTCTAATTTTTGAGGGGTCCCCCCTCATGCTTTTTGCTAGTTTTCCATGTGAGATGGACTGAATGTTTAATTAATCACAGAATGTCAACAGTTAAAGAAAATGTACTATTGTGTAATATTCAGCAAATACAGACTAGAAATGCCAGGTCAGCTCTGCTCCTATGTGGCGTTAAATTTGTTTTCCTTTCACTTCTCAATACTGAGAAAATTATTACACATGCAATTAGCACAGAGGAGGCTCTGTGCACCCCTGCCCAGCACAATGCCCACGCTCACCATGGGCTCAGCAAGTACCTTTGCCAGAAGGGTGATCTCGATGCATAGAGAACAAGAAGGGTCTGGAAGAAAGGATACAGGAATAAAAGTCGTTCACTGCTGATAAACTGGTCACATCCACTGCATTGGTCATGGAAAGCCTACACACAGGCTTGGCCTTGCTCTTCTGTTTATATCTGGAAGAACAGAGATGATCAATCTTTTTTGCTTCTCTTCCACTACAATTAAACAACCTACTTTAAAAAGAAAAGTGAAAATGAACAGAATGTTTTCATATCACTTTAAAGTCATATTTTGTAACACTGAGGCAATAAGTGAATTGGCTACCTTAATTTTCCTTTACAGAAAAGTTGAGTTTTCCATTTAGAAATTCTAGTTTTTCCTTTAGGAAAATGTCATGAAAATAAGATAATTTAACAAAGACAAAGACAATTCAGTCCTATCTATGAGAAAGCAAATTTGTCTAATTTTTTAAAAATTATATGTGTACTTAAAGGGACACCCAACAAGTCATTACTCACCTCCTGCCTCAGCCTCCCAAGTAGTTGGGAATACAGGCGTATGTCACCATGCCTGGCTAATTTTTTTTTTTTTTTAGTCTCACTATGTTGCCCAGGCTGATCTCAAATTCCTGGCCTCAAGACATCCTCTTTCTTACCTTGGCCTCCTAAAGCTCTGGGATCACAGGCTTGAGTCACTGCACCTTTTTTTTTTAAATCAGTCTGTGACCCAATGGATGTCTCTTCCTACGGTGTTTATATATTTATGTGTTTCCTTAGAAAAGCTTGCCATCCTCCAGCTCAATATCATAAACTGAACAAATGCATTAGCTTTACTACATCCTACAATCCAACGAAAGAGGCTATAAAAGGATTTTTAAGGCCCAGAAGAACAAAAAGAAGAGAAGAGCAAATGGAGACACAATTTTATTTATTTTTAAATTTAAATTTTTTAAATTATTATAAAGATATGAGGTACAATTCAGGGTTAGGTATACAAACGTTGATTATGCAGGTACCCTTGTTGATGAGGTATGCCCCTCCCTCCCCTAGCAGTTTGCCACTCCTGCCAATTCCACCCCCTTCCCCTGACAGTTTTTCATCACTGCCAATCCCTTTCCCACAGTATTATAATTGCTCAAGGTCTGCTTAAGGTGAGAATATATGGTACTCTGTTCTTTCTTCCTGAGATAGATCACTGTGTATGATCGACTCCAAATTCATCCAAGTTGCTGCGAAGTCCATATGCTTGTCTTTCTTTATGGCTGTATAATATTCCACTGTGTATATGTACCACATTTTTTTATCCAGTCCAGCTTCAATGGGCAGCATGGTTGGTTCCATGTTTTTGCTATTGTGAATAGAGCTGCAACAAACATACATGTGCAGGTATCTTTTTTGTAGAATGATTTAAGTTCCTCCAGGTATATTCCCAATAGGGGAATTGCTGGGTCATATGGAAGGTCAATTTCTAATTCTTTCAGAAATCGCCACACTGAGACATAATTTTAAATCTCAGGAGCAAGAGAATGTGTGCTGACAAACATAGGAAACCTGGGTAGTAAGTTAATGTATAAAATGCTCTCAAAAAGCAAAAATAAAGTTTAGAACTTAAAGTTTCACATATCTCTGAAAGATATGTGATAAGTTTCACATATCTTTGAAAGATATGTGATAAGTTTCACATATCTTGCCTGTGCTTTGGGGGTCCTAGTTGTGCAATCAGGGCCAAGATCAATGAATGCTTTTCCCGTGTGTTGTTCTAGTTTCAATTATTCCATTCTTTCAGGTATGCTGGCCCTTGCGCTCACGTCCACGGGGAGGACAGCCACACTGACCAGGCAACGGAGAGAGCACCTCTCCTGTGAGAGGATGACATAATAGTCCTTCCACATGATAGACCTGGGGCCACAGAGAAGGATAGGTGATAGATGAGGGACCTGAATACAGCAGAGGGTGGGAGTCTCACTCCTGGTCCCAACTAGCTTGCTTTGATTTGAGCCATAAACAGTGGCTTCCTGCTTCCTGTCCTCCCTACCTAAAGATGGGACCCTCGTTCTTATACTTCAGATTTCCTCCCACACTGTGTAAAGAGCAGATGGTGGGAGAGCCTTAGCAGGGGACTGGTGGCTGGGCACTGGCCTGGGAGGGTGTATTCCAGGCAGGGGAGCCAGGTGGAGAGGGATGAAGGGTAGGGAAGCCCATAGCCCAGACTCCTGCTGTCTCCCCACCTTGTACCCTGCTCTGCTCAGGCACAGACCGTGACCCAAAAACATCCTAGTGGCCTTGGAATTGCTCTCCGCCAGCCTCCAGCCCAGGCCTAGGAAAATCTTTGTGGAGTTCCTCTTCCATGTTTAGAAATGTAGGATGCCATCTACAGCCATACCACTCTGAATGTACCTGATCTCCTCTGATCACCAAGGAAACGTAGGATGCCACTCGAAGCGGCTACAATGGAAACCTATCCACTGGCAGCCACATGGGGACTGGGATGGAAACTAACACATTTGCAGCTAGCAAAACAGGCCATGTGTGGTGCCAAGACAGATGCCAGGCTCAGGTCCTGAAGCGCTACCCACTCCCGCTGATCCCCATGTTCCCAGAGAAGAATGGGCACTCACTGATCTAGGAGCCTGGTGTGCTCTACAGAGAAGATGCCTAGAGCCCCTGGTCCACAGACTCTCAGACCCGCAAAGATGTCCCCAGGACCAAGTCTAAAGTCTAGCCCTGCCTCCTCTCCCAACACCCTAGGCCCTGCTGCTCTGTGGCCTGCAGGGCCTCCTCTTGAAGATGTGAATGTGGAGTCAGGAGCCACAGCGGCTCTCACCTGAAGTCATGGACCAGGACCAGATACCAGGACCAGGAAGGGCAGCCTTGGAACCAAGCTGACAGCTACACCCCACAGCTGGCTCACAGAAGGGGACAGCTCATGTGCGCCACCATTTGTGGGACATTCATTACAAGGAAGGAGGAGATGAGAACCTGCCATGGGTCAGCTGCAGTCTAGTCTAGAGAAGGCCAGGGTCTCGTGCCCTGGGAGGCGTCTGACCATGCAGAGTTGCACAGCAACTGCCCAGGGGGTCTGAGCTGTCCTCAGCACCCACAGCATGCCTGCAGCTACGGCCCTGCTGCAGGTACACAGAAGCACGAGGAAACCCAGTACGTACTGCTCCCGGTAACGAATGTCAAGACGAGCCCACATCCCTCCATGAGAGAAGAACAGAGGGACTGTGCCACTCCCCTGGCAGGGTATCTTAGAGAACAGCTGAAATGACCAAACAGAGTCACATGTCGCAGAAACCTAATGGTGACTAAGAGAGCTGTGCTTTCATTAAATGTAAAGTCTCAAAAAAAAATCATACAAAACACATAGATACAGCACAAACATAAAACTATGGGTGGGAAGTAAGCACACCAATCTCAAAAGAAGGGAAAAGGGAGAGAGAACAGGGGTGAGAGGGTGAGTCTCTATTTCTCTGAAATATTCTCTCTTTAAAAAAAAGTTTGAAAACAAAGACAGCAAAATGCCCAAGCTAGGTATAGCTAAGGTGATTATTATTCCCCCATATACATCTATATATTTCTAATGTTTCATAATTTTCACTTTTTATTACAAATAGTATTTGTCTCACTTAAATATGCTTGCAGAACTGAGAAGTAATTCAGGATTCTTAAATCCCCCAAACCCTCTCATGTCACCATTCCTAAGGCCCCTGAGTACAGTAATACAAAGGCCAGTTTACAACACTTGGAAAGTGGTAGACTCAGCTGTCACCAGCAGCTTGGTAAACTGGAGTCATCACCTTTTGGCTGACATTTCTAAATGGGAACCCTTCTTTTCCATCATCATTACTGAAACTGCTTCAGTTGCCTCTAGAAGGAAAGCCACAAGAGGAGGAGCAGCCCACCTTTTCATCTCATCTTTGCAGGTATTGAGGTGATGCTTCAGCAGCTGGAGCTCGGGGCCAGAAGACAGCAACATGAAAGCATCCATGTAATAAAACTGTGCTGATTGCACGGGCTTAGGAAACATGCTTTTGCCCTGAAATGCATATCAGTAATTACTGTCAATATAATACATGTTAATAGAAAATGCTATTGCTCTAAACATGAAGTTCTTTCTTCCTAACACCCAACATCTATTTATTCCAATTATGTAATATATTTTGTTAGAACCAATTTATAATTTTTGTTTCTGCTTACTACTTCTGAAAGATACTATGATTAAAATTTTACTGCAATGAATCCCAGTGCTTTGAATTCCAGGCATTTAAAAATTTGAAATCCAGGGTTACCAAAAAAATGTATATACATTTTAAGTAATGTTTTCTATGTATGACTTCTAGTTTGCCATCATCAGAAGTGTCCAGACGCGGACGGGAACCACTTTGAGCACCTCTTGCAATTGCAGAAGTCAAACGGGACCTGTATTCATCTTTTGTTATTGGTATATATTGACTATACAATTTTAATACAGTTTTTTTTTCTTTCTTAAAACATATATAAATTGTTTGGAAACACTCTGTGTATTAAGTTTCAAGGATTTCACTAAAGCCCAAATTTAAAACATGTTTCCAAATTTAGTTCCGAGGTATCTAATCTCAAATTCAGTTCTCACAACTGACAGCATCACAATGCAGAAGCCAACAGCATAGATCACTCTCCACAAATCCCCTTCTAAAGCTGCTGCCCAGGGCTTCATCCTTACAGGAGCTCCAGGTCTCAACAAATCTTCCTGTCCTTTCTTGTCTTCCTAGTATTCAATCTCCCTTTTAAAAAAGACCCACCAATAATAAACACTCAGCATCTCTGGAAACATCACAGCTTCTTTTGTTCTTTGCAGTTTACCTGCTCTAACTTCATGAACTAAAGATGGGAGTCCTGGCTGGGCATGGTAGCTCAAGCTGTAATCCCAGAACTATGGGAGGCCGAGGTGAGACGTTTGCCTGAGGTCTGTGACCAGCCTGGGCAACTTGGTGAGAACTTATCTCTACAATAAATTAATAATTAGCCAGGTGTAGTGGTACACACATGTAGTTCCAGCTACTTGGAAGGCTGAGGTGGAAGGATGGCCTGAGTCCAGCAGGTTGAGGCTGCGGAGACTGTAAGCACCCCCCTGCACTCCAGCCTGGGCAACAGAGTGAGACACCGACTCAAAAAAAATAAAAAAAAAAGATGGGAGTCCTACTGCTGCCTCTTCCCTGTCTCAGGTGTGAGGTTACTGCTATTTCCCCTTTCTCCTTTCCCAGTCTACTCCCCATAAGCTCATTACAAGTCATTTTTCTCCCCAGAATTTGCTTCCTCTGTGTAATAGCCCCTTGGCCATTATTATTACCGTGACTATAAAGTCACATTGAATTCATATTTAAAATTATCCAAATGTTTTAGTTTTAATCATTTTGGTATTGTAGATCACAACAAAGGACATATTTAACTATATGTATGCACAAATGTAGCAAGTAGGTATGCATACATGTGTCTATGTGTGCATGTGTATGTGGTATGCATGTGTGTGAATACATACACATACACACACATTTTAAAAACTATTTGATTAATCAACCACTGTTACTGCACTGAGGCAAACTCTTAGCTCATGTCCCCTTCCTAACTTCCTGGTAAGGTAAAAGAATGGGAACTCTGAGAAAGTTCTCAGTTCAGTAGAGCTGTTCCAAGCCACAGAGCTGCTTATTTTGACTGTCCACGGTAGACAGGTTCATCCATTACCAGAAGTAGCACAAGCTCTGCCCTGCGCGCTGACCACACTCTCAGAGTACTGTCCTGGGCCGCAGACAGCAGCCATCTACAGTCTTGACTCCAGCAGATGGCGTTCACTGCTCCATCGTGACCTAAAGGAATAGCCAGAAGATTACTTCATTTTTGATTATTAATATTATTTTTGAGTGGGTGTTATTTACCCAGTACTTTTATACAATACTCCTGGAACTGCATTCTTTTAAGTAATAAACACACACTAGGAGGCATTTCTTTGATACAGTGATACCAACAAACCCAAATCCCAAGGCATAGGATTAAGCTTCGCCAAGGCACTGTGGCTTACGCCTGTCATCTCAGTACTTTGGGAGGCAGAAGCGAGAGGACTGCCTGAGCCCAGGAGTTCAAGACCAGCCTGGCAACTTGGCAAGACCACGTCTCTACAATAAATCAAAAAATTAGCTGAGTGTGGTGACACATGCCTATTGTTCCTAGTTACTTGGAAGGCTGAGGTGGAAGAATCGCCTGAGTCTAGCAGGTTGAGGCTGCGGTGGCCATGAGCACACCACTGCACTCCAGCCTGGGTGATAGATTGAGCCTTCTCTGACTCAAAAAGAAAAGAAAAGAAAAAGGATTAAGCTTCATTTAGAGGCTTCATACAAGTTTCAAAAGGAGGTTTTATCTAAAACTTCATATTCATTAAAGCCTCATATGAAGTTTAACACTGTGTGCATCTATGAGTGTATGTTTTAAGAGAAGAAAATTATACAATCTGGTATTATAAAGTATAATACAGAAACCTGTGAATCTCATGATAACATCAGTATTTTAAAGAATTGTTAGTCTTTGAACATTGGAGGAAAAAAGTAAAATAAAAAATGATACGTACAAGTTGATCATTTGTTGTGATAAACTGAGAAGTTCATCTACCTTAAGATGGCTGTGTAGATGCTGGCTTCTGGGGGTGCTGATGTGGTCTTAGGCATCTAGAGGTCAGTCACACTTGGTGCTGTGACATCAGGCTGCAGAGAGGCTCTGACATGAGCACTGAGCGCTTATTTCACGCCATGAGAGTTTCCTGTCCAGTTCCCACGTTGTCCTGCACCTGACCAGTCCGGGGCAAGCCCCTCCCTGCATTTCTGGTTGGGTGTTCACCGTTTTTCCCAGCTCCTAACCCTGGACACATGCTAGTCTCTTAACCTATCCTGCCTCATAACCCTTGGAAGAGCTGTGGAGCTGGGAAGGCAATCCCAAAATAAGCTCCTCAGTTGCCCCAGCAACTGCCCACGAAGCAGTAGAACCAGGTGAAAGGAGAGAGAAAAGCTGCACATAGAGGGTGAGGGACAAGGGATGCTCTCCCCTGCCAGGGAGGAGCAGAGGTTCAGCGCAAGACAAGGAGGATGCCTGACCCCAGGCACCGGGCAGGATGGATGGCAGCGGCAGTACTAAAACAGGCCCTAGATTCACACACACCTCCTGGACAACAGATGACCCAGACCTGCTCAGTGGCCACATTTCATCTCCTGCAGCAAAGCCCTTGTGCCTGAAGTCCTAGAGGACATGTAACCACAACTCCGTCCCGCTACACAGATGTTCCTTCGTGTTGGTGTCAGCAAGTGAATGTAAAGATTTGACAATGATCACAATTGTCACTGTGGCACATTTGTCAGGACACCCCCATAGTGAATACGGAAATCGGGAAAGATGCGCTGGTACTAACAGCTACTGAGCAGAAAAACATAGGAGCAGCGTTGCTGCCCTCTTGTGGGGAGTTCCAACAGCTTCAACAGAAGTGCCAAGGCCCAGCAAAGCTCAGGATGTCCTTTCCGCTTCTCAGCTGACAGAAAAAGGTGAGACTCCACAAGAAAGTGTTTGCGACTGTCACCCCAGATACACGATGTGTGTACACAACACGAGTTCTTTCTGGGACTCCATATGACCACAAGGGTGCTGTTCATTCTTAAATGCCGGCCAGTCCTCAGGTCGTCAACCTGGTAGGATGGCCTGATGGCTCATGACATCCAGCTATCCTGCCATAGAAGGAAGTTGATCACCATCTACGTGGCTCATTCTCCTTGAATATCAAATGAGGTCACTCAGACCAACCTTACCGCCTGGCCACAGGCTGCAGAGAGGCCAAGTGAGGTGATGCAAGATCGGGTGGAAAGGGGAAGCTACCACCACCCATGTCCTCCTTCCCAGTTGGACAGGGCCCACCTGTGGCTGGAGCCATCTGTCCTAGGCCTCTGAGCTCCACTGCCAGTAGTGCCTGACCAGACGCCCAGACACCACCCACTACAGCACCAGAGCACCAGAAGCCCCACAGAGCAGGAATGGCAAGAGGACACCTGAAGGGCCTACAGGTCCTTTCTCACACACAGGATGTAAACAGTGGAGACTCCTCAGAGGGGCTGAAGTCAGACCTCCTTACTCTCCCAAGCTCCAGACCTCGACACATGCAGGAAGCACAGCATGGTGCAGCACAGATAAGCACTGCAGCCCTTGGAGCTGGGACCCAACCCATGGAGTGAGGTGCCCTCATCCTCCCCTCTGCCCAGTTTCATTCCTGTTCATCTGATCACCACTTCCCCTGTGGTATGTGGGAGAGTCGATGAGCTTCAGAAACAGAATGAAAAAGATTCTACATCTCTGACCTGGAGGCCTCCTATTTCCCTGGGAAACTATCAAGCATGCATGGGATATGAACTGCTCTTTTAGAACGGAAGTCAGTCTGTGAAACGCCATGTCACACAGAACAGACGGTGGACAACAACTTGGTGGAGAACAGATAGATGAAGAATCTCAGGACAGGGAGCAAGAAGTTCTGGTTTTAATTCCATTCTTTTAGAAAGATTTCTTTCTGTACGATTCCATTATCTGTAATGGAACATTCAATAGATTTACTCTTCCGAAATGCCTAACCCCAGGATTTCCTGCTTACAGCCCCAGGCTCTAGGGCACAGCCCAGAGAACCACATTCTCACGCGAAACGCGCTTGGGTCCTCCCATGCAGTGCCTGTAGAGAGGCTACTCTGGGTCAGAAACACGCTCAGAAGGAACAGAACTGTTCCTGATGATCTCTCTGCTAGACAACAACAGTTGATAGAAGACATTCTAAAATCTAAAGCACAAATGCAGAACATCTTTATATGCATTACTTGGCTGTACCCTCAGAGTCTCCTGAATTCTCCAGGAGAAAGTTTTAATTTATATGTATCTTATTTGCCTCAAGCTATGGTAGAAATAAAAATATCCATTTTTCTGTGTTCTGGGTAGGTTCTGAGGAACCAAATGTATTTTCAAAGTTGAATCACAAAACTATTAAACACTAGACACCCAAAGTGAAATCATGTGGCCAGAGCAGTTAAAATATGTAAAAATTACTCTTTTCCCATACGGAAATAGAGCAGGTTTTTAAAAGACAAGTTTAAATATCACTGCACTATCTTAATTCAGAGAAAGTCTTTTTCCAATAATAAAATACATAGAGAAATGCCTACAACCAGCATAACAACCATTTATATCAGCTGTTCAGCAACAGAAAGATGCCACCCGGGGCTCCCTCACCACAAGGTGACTTTCAATAAACACCAAAAGCAAAGGTCTGAACCTGGAGGAGCCACCGAATGTTCTGGAATTAAATGGAACAGATGTAGCAGGATGTGCAGAAAAGATGCTGCTGGAAGGGTAGTGTCCAACCATGACTGCTAGTACTGGGAGTACTGCTATACTGGAGGCCACGGCTTTGCTTGTGCAGGTGTGGGCCCAAGACCTCTGTCAGCCCCAGGATCCTCCCTCACCTCACTCGAGTCAGTGAGCAGAGAGCGAGGCCAGGAGCAGTCTGGAGGCCAGGTGGGGCAGTATCATGGCTCCCAAGGATGGCCTCGCCTGGCTCCCACCTCCACCAGACCCATCTCATAGCCCCCACCTCCACATTTCCTAACCACTGCCACCAGTGTGGTCCACCACAGGCTAAGTGTCCCTCCATCCGAAGTGCTTGGGACCACAGGTGTTTGGGATTTCAGAATTTTTCAGATTTTGGAATGTTTGTATTGTAATGGTTGAGCATCCCTAACCCAAAAGTCCGAATCTGAGATGCTTCAATGAACATTTCCTTGAAGTATCATGTCAGTGCTCAAAAAGCTTTGAACTCCAGAGCATTTCAGATTTTTGTATTAGGGATACTCATACTGTATAAAAGCAGATGGACTAGCGAAAGGTTTTCTGATTGTGTGTGCGTTTTGTAAAAGTAGCTACCAGGCGTAGGTTTCTAAGTGAGCGGCATCAGGAGCCTAAGAAGACTTGCAAGACCCTGGTTGGAACTAGGAACTGCATGTGTCAGAGTATAAGTTGAAATCAGTAATTCTAAGAGAATCACTCCCATCGCAGATCTACCTCCTTAAAACAATTGTTTGCCCTGTTCGTGTATAAAAATGTCCATGTACAAACCCTACAAATTGTCAACATGCAGTTCAATTGTACACAGCCTTTTTTTTTTGGAGTTGGAGTCTCACTCTGTCACCCAGACTGGAATGCATGGCCGCTCCCAGCCACTGCAGCCTCGACCTGCTGGGCTCCGGTGATCCCTCCGCCTCAGCCTTCCAAGTAGCTGGAACTACAGGCACGCGCTACCACACCCGGCTAATTTTTTTGACTTATTGTAGAAATGAGGTCTTGCCAAGTTGCCCAGGCAGGTCTCGAAACCGTGGGCTCAGGCAATCCACTCACCTCAGACTCCCAAAGCACGGGATTACAGGCTGAGCCACCAAGCCCGGCTGTACGCCTTTCAAGTAAATGAATTCCATATGTTAAGATAAGGTAAGATTACCTAAGACATAACTTCACTCATTCCTCTAAAACTCTGCTGACACGTGGTTCTTGGCCTCTGGCATCAGTCATCAATGGCTGCAATTTTGGTCTCACAAGTTACACTCACCTTGTTAGGTTTAAGGGCTTATGGATCTAGTATATTAAGTATCACCATTTTATTATCCCAATTCAAGCCATGATTCTATTCTGCTGTTGTCTTGAAGGAGAAAGAAGTATCACTTAGCAACTGACAACCAAGACAAAGTGAGACCCATTCTTAAGTTCATGTTAACTGAAATTAAACACATTTTACCTGAAAACACAGCAGGCGTCCCAATCAGGCTGGCCTCAAACACCAGTGACAGATGGTTGCCCAAGCCACAGGCCAGCCACCGTCCGTCTCCTGTTTAAAACACAAAAAAGAAATACTTGTAGAATCCCAACTCAGAGGAGTCATGCTGACCATGGGTTCAGATGTAGGAACTTCTTGGGTCATGAGAAAACACGGAACAACAAGAGGCAAGGCTTCCAATCCCCCCAAACATAAACATCATGCATGGGCCCGCAAGGCCCAGCCCCATGTCACCTCCTAAAGATGCCCACGTCATCTCTCCCACACTCTTGTATTGTCATTCTCCTCTGTTTAGAGGAGGGATCGAAGGACAGCACAGTGGGGCTGCTCCCCAAGGTGGTGACAGACTGGGAGTCCACAGGCCCCTGCACTGAGATGCCCGCAAACACTGCACTGGTTGGGTCCTGTCTCATATCAGTGGATTGTTTCAGAGGCATATTTCACTAAACAGTTATGTTTAGACATTTCCCTAAGACAGGTTAGAGATGAATGATAGATATCACCCACAGTATTGAACTTGAAGATCTGTAACACCAAAGGGATTCCTGATCTATTAAAGTAAGCATATCAAATGTCAAAAGATATTTACTGATAATACTACATATCTAATTTCCCAAAAATATTTTAAAACTTCTTTGGCTAGAGTCATATAAAAAATAAGGGGAATTTAGCAGGGTTCTAAATGATCTTTAGATGACCCACTTAAACTCTCTGGATGGGGGCGGTAGTCAGGGTGGGGCAAAGTGCATCCAGCCTGGACAGAGGCAAAGGTGCATCTCACTTGTAAGTAAATCCCACTTGCAAGACAAGCCCACAGAGCAGAAACACCAAAGGAAGCTGAGGCTCTCTTATAGGCTGCCTCTTACCTTCCTTCAAACATTATTTAGGAAAAACACTGAGGTTCCCTGACAGAAGTTTGTGATGGCATGAAGATGTGTTTAAAGCAGAGAGCAGCTGCTGTGGAAGTGGAGAAATGCTCAGCCCTACAAAAAACAGCCCCAGTCAAGGGATCTGGCAAGGAAGGGATGCCACGCAGTCACCACGACACCGTCCAGCAAGACACCATGCAGCAAGACACCGTCCAGTGCAACATCAACCAGCACAACACTATGCAGCGTGACACTATCCAACCCATCAGTGAGCCAGGGACCATGTCTCCAGAGTACATGGTGATGACTAGGTCAGATTCTGTCCATGAGCGTCTTCCCACCAGGCTCCCATTACAACTTCTGTAGGAACATCATGTATGTAGAAGGCAAACCCAGGTGAGCTCACCACTCCAGATTCAGACACCAGTGAGCAAGTGCTGAGCTTGGTCCCAAGTGAGGAGTGAGATCCTCGGCGATCATCCCAACTACAGTTGAGTGATAACTGAGTCTTGATTGTTATCTGGACCAAAATGATGCCACGCAATGTCAGGTAACCAAGGTCTCTAAAACTTATTTACAAGCGACTAGTGAACAGAACAAAAAACTTTTACAAACAACACAATGCCCAGCCTACTGATGCATACCTGAGTACTGGACACAGCCCACAGTGACCGGCCCACAGGTCGCAGAGACCTGTGCACTGAGTGTGGTTGGTAGAGAACACTCCAAAGGGTACGCCTCACTTCAAGTCCGATCAGAGACGGCAGGAAGCAAAAGAGAATCCAAAGTGAGATCAGAAACAAAAATAAACTAGAAATGAAGTCAGTTCCCCCCATTCACATGTATAACTTTATTCCTTTAAACTTGAATATATATAGGCTCTTACATTCAAAATCATGAAATAGCTCTTTACAATAGACTTATATTCCATATTGCAAAAAAAGACACCGATTATACATATAAAGTAGCACAGATTTATCCCGTTTGATACAAGCCAGTGTGAAAACTGTAGTGATCTGGGGCGAGGGTATTTAGTGAGAGAAAATATGTCTTTCTTTCCACTCTCTGTGTTCTTTGTGAGCGGCTATCCAAACACATATTACTCAGATAATCTATAAATGATTTACATTTACCATGAAAATAATTCTATTCTGTTTCCAAAAGAAACCAAGGAAGGCTGGGCAAAAAGGACTAACACTGAAACTCAGTGCCCTGATGGGACAGGCAGGTGAGTGCCAGGCTGTGAGGAGGAGCACTGGCCCAACCCACAGGCCGTCTCGTTTCAGGTGAGAGCTCCCATGTTATACATTAGCAGGGCCAAGCAGAGTATCCTCAGGGGTGCTCAAGAACCTTGCGCATTCTCCACCTCATTCATGTCTCCAGCTGTAAACCGCCGGTCCTGCATAGCTGCTGCAGAAGCAAAAATAACAGAAGCACCAGGGACCCCACACACAGGCGGGAGAGACATGAAGTCACATGCCCGCTCTAAGAAGTAGGGTCTGCTGAGGACATGCCACGCCTGTTACTTGTACCATCTATATCCAGAAAAAACTGGTGAGTTCTGGGTTCAGTGGCTCAGCCTGTAATCCCAGCACTTTGGGAGGCCAAGGCAAGTGGGCTGCCTGAGCCCACAGGTTCAAGACCAGTTCAGGAAAATTGGCGAGACCCTCTCTCTACAATAAATTTTTAAAAATTAGCCAGGCACAGTAGCATGCGCCTATAGTTCCGGCTACTTTTTGAAAGCCTGAGGCGAAGGTTCACCGTACCCCAGCAGGTCAACGCTGGGGTGGCCGTGAGCATGCAACTGCACTCCAGCCTGGGTGATGGACTGAGACTCCAACTTGAAGAAAAAAAAAAGACTGGTGAGACCAGCCACACCAGGAACCCCACCAAGTTGGGAGGTGTCCACGTGAGTCCTCCTCTGAGTAAACACCTGCCTGACCCCGCATGTCATTCAGAAGCCTCGCCGCCTGTCGCTGCTGCTCCGCAGGCTCTCAACAGACGGCCATGAGAGTTAAAAATATATGAAAGGTGCATGTTGGGCAAGGAGAGTTGGGGGTTCCTCATGGAAAAAAAAGCCACCACAAACATGGACGGTCACCAGAACTCTATGGCATTTCGTTTCATGAGATCCAGCTGCCCTTTGTAGCAGGTACCTGCATAGTGTCAACCACCTGCTCACCTGCAGAGCAACAGAATGGAGCAGGACAGCAACAAGGTTGAAGGAAAACAGGAATAAACTCAGGAGAACTTAATATCAGTGTTGTTATAGACTCAACAATGGTTCAAATGTACACAGGACACACATGAACATAAGTGTGGTTTTAAGTAAAGTAGCCCATACTCTCTCCTTAGACAATGTAATCTTCCACCAGGATTGGGAGGAGCCCTAGAGGTCCCCTGAAGGCCTTCAGGCTTCAGATGGATGCACCCAAGCACAGAGCCTCAGCCAGCATGGGCCCAGCCCAGTGGACACAAGCTCTCCCTGATGCCACATGGGCACATCCTGTGGAGACATGGGCTCTCCCTGACACCACACGGACCCAGTCTATGGACACAAGCTATCCCTGATGCCACACGGGCCCAGCCTGTGGACATGATCTCTCCCTGATGTCACACAGGCCCAGACCTGTGGACACAAGCTCTCCCTGATGCCACATGGGCCCAGCCTGTGGACAAAAATTCTTCCTGATGCCACATGGGCCCAGTCCTATAGAGACAGGCTCTCCCTGATGTCATATGGGCCCATCCCTGTGGACACGAGCTTTGATACAACATGGGCGCGCCCTGTGGAGACGGGCTTTCCATGACGCCACACTTACCACCCTGTGGAGCTATGGCTCTCCTTGATGCCAAACGGGCCCAGCCTGTGGACATGAGCTATCCCCAATGTCACACAGGCCCTACCCTGTGGACATAAGCTCTCCCTGATGCCACACAGGACCAGTCTGTGAACACAAGTTCTTTCTGATGCCACACGGGCCCACCCTGTGGAGACATGGGCTCTCCCTGATGCCACACAGGTTCAGTCTTATGGACACGAGCTCTCCCTGATGCCACATGGGTCCAACCCATGGACACGAGCTCTTCCTAACACCACACGGGCCTGGCCCGTGAAGACATGGGCTTTGCCTGACACCACGCAGGCCAAGAGATGCTCAGAAGACATAGCTCTGACACTTCCACCAATTATTCCAACATGCCATGAGAATGAGCACAGCTATAGTATTCTCTAAGCCAAAATGTTCACAAAAATGAGAGCTTTCTGAAGAGTTCAGAAAAAACTAGCATATTTAAAAAATTAAATGTGGCTGAAAGGACATACATATAAATAATATGACATGGGCCAGGCTCAGTGGCTCAGCCTGTAATCCCAGCACTTTGGGAGGCTGAGGCAAGTAGACTGCCTGAACCCATGGCAACTTGGCGAGACCTTGTCTTTACAATAAATAAAAAATTAGCCAGGCATGATAGCGCACACCTGTAGTTCCAGCTACTTGGAAGGCTGAGGAGGAAGGATTGCCAGAGCTTAGCAGGTAGATGCTGGAGTGGCCATGAGCTAGCTACTGCACTTCAGCCTGGGCAACAGAGTAAGACTCCAACTCAAAATACATATATATGACATGTACATATTCATGTGCATATACACATGCAATGTCTTATGTCTGTTTGAAAATAATCTGTAAAATCATATTTTGAAGGTCTCATGAGGTTATTTCAAATCTACTTTGAATATAGACTGCATACCATTTATAATTGTTCTTGCATTTTGAAGATCTTTTACCCTCATTCTTGATGTTAGTCTTTGGTGAAAACATGGTTACACTGTGGAAAGAAAACTCTTACATCAGTCTCAAAATTCTTAGTATTGAAGAATACTAAGCTTCTTAAGATAGTTATATTTTACAGTGAAAAACAGTTGCATATGTAGAGATATCTGCAAAAAGCTTTCAGCAGTTCCCTCAGTCGCCCTCCAGTTCATGCCCTCACCTCCTCTCATGTCCTTCATTCTGCCTCAGAGATGTCACTATGCTACACATCCTCTGAAACACCATTTAGAGTTATAATAGAGTCCAAACCTGAGAAGTAGCAATTTGGCTCTTTACTCTGCCTCTGAACAGTCAAATTTTCAAGGAGGAAAATCTCCTTCAAAGGCTGCCATGCCCGGGAGCAGTTGTTGCTCAGAATTGTGGAGATATTATTAACCAATGTGAATGGACTGCAAAGGTAAAACCCCCATCATGAGAAGGTTTCAGAAGATATCAAGGTCACTGATAGGTGGAGATACTAGGCTTCAAGTAATAGAGACCTCTAATTAAGTTGGCCTAAACAATGAGGACAATACTACTACACATGATAAGAACTTCAGAGTTAGGAGGCACTGCAGCTGGCTAAACTCTCTACTCAACAGCAGCAAGGGCCCAAGTTCATTTCATCTTTCTGCTCTGTCATCTTTGGTGTGTCTGCTTGGACTTTAGGCCAGGACTTTCATGGTTGCGAGTTGGTTGCAATTTCTACCATCTGGGAGTTACATTCTGACATAACAACATTCATAGGATGAAGAGAAATGTCTCTTCCTGTGTCCTATTTTGAGAGGGAAATTACCTTTTGCAGAGGCTCCAAGCAGATTTCCCTTTACGTCTTATTGGTCAGATGTGGGTCACATACCTACTCCTAAAGTAATGACTGTCAACAAGATCACCAAGATTGCTTTACACTAATCAAGATTTACCCTAAATTAGAAATGGAGTAGCTTCTAGAACAAGATCGGGGTTCCACAAGCAAAGAAGAAAGAGGTAGTGGCTGTTGGGTAGGCAGCCAGCAGGGTCTGCTCAGATAATTTTTGATGCTTTTATATTTTAGTACCATTTTCTAGTAGTTTATTTTGAAAGAAGTATGGGAGACGATGGACTCATTTGGATTAAGTTTTTCATCAGAAAAAAAATAAGGTTATAAAAGGACTCTGGGCTTTTCTTGCTCAGATCTCAGGTTGGTTCTCAGGGCCACCCACATCTGGCAATCCGGATCCTCATGTCCCTGGTCTCCAACATGAAGACCAGCACTCACGACATCCCTTAATATGAAGGGACCTAGAAGTTTGCTCAATGATCCAGATGCCACCATCCCTGAGCCACCCCACAGGACATAGAGTGAAATGTGGTGTTGCTGAGCATGAATCCAGAATTCATTCACCCATCCATCTAATGAGCATCCATCCACTTACTGATCCATCCACTCACTCATCCCTCCACCCTACTCACCACTCATCCATATCTCAATCTATCCATCCATGCACCTATCCAACAATCCACCTCTTCATCTACCCACCCATCCATCTCTTCTTCCAGCCACTAACTCACCCACCTCTCATCCATACATCTCTCCACCCATCCGTTCACTCATCTCTCATCTCTCCACCCACCCATCTCTCCATCTTCCTCTCCACCCATCCACCCACTCATCCATCTCTCCATCTATTCAACCACCCATCTCTTCATCCATCCACTAACTTATTTACGTCTTATCCATACATCTCTCCACCCATCCACTAATTTATCTCTCATTCCTCCATCCATCCATCCATCCATCCATCCACCCATCCAGAATTGTCTTGTGAGAGGATCCAAGATGCCAAGTGCTGTCCCAGGCATAGGAGTTTACAGAACAGGTAAGTAGAACACAGTCACCACAGGTAAGGCCAAAGAGAAAGGGTAAAGGAGGAAGGGGGCTTGAGGGGTGGGAGAGGCTGCAGTTTCACATAGAGAAGCCTGGGACTGTAGCCTGGAGCAGAGCAGTGGCCCTTGTGAGGGGTAGGGGTGGGTAGTGGAACAGGTTGGGGGACTTGGTAGAAAAGAGCACCAACCAGGGAGATATGTGTGCTCTGAGGTCAGAGACCTCAAGTAATAGGGCTGTTGTGGGAGCTATTTTAAGACACATAAAGTGTCAAGATTGGGGTAGCAGGAGAGTAATACATCTGCATTTTATACAGAAAAGTCCAATTTCCTTTGAAAAATCTGGGGATTGTGAAGGCTTTGTTCTAGTTTCTCGAGTATCCTGTTGCTGTCTATATCCTTGTCACTAAACAGCCTCACAAAGTCAGTCTTGCTAACCCAGGTTCTGAAGATACTAAAGGTTAATGTTCTGAGGTTACAGCAAAGCTGTGTTCTGAGAACAGGCTACACTATCTTACAACATCATCACTGTCCCCCAGTCCATACCCAGCAGCCTCCCTCACCTCATTTGGAATGACCTTATGACCAGACAAGGACCCAAGGGGATGGCCTGAGGCCCAGCACACAGTGAGTGACCCTAAGCGTTTGCTGTGGCAGTTGCCAGAGACTGGGACAGCTTGGGTCTAACCTACCATGTATGACTTCCTGTTTACACCTGTCTCTCCTCATAATGTGACCCTAAAGGGTGTGTTTTTGTCCCTATTTATGCATTCTGTCCATGTTTAGGTCCTGCATCTGTGGCACTGGTGTCTCTCTAAAATCTCCATGTCTGTCACTAACATGAGTTTTACTAACTGTGGTGCTGATGTGTAGCCAGACGACATCACTTTACTGTGGAAAACCAGGGGCTGATCCTTCAGATGACTCTGTGCAGCTGTAGAAAGACAAGTTTAAAGAAGAAAAAAATATTTAACATTACAATTTCATTATGGACAGGCTCTTTACACAAACAGAAGGAGCTTCTGACTTGTAAAATTAAGAGGTTTTATACCTGAAGTCAAAACAACCAACTCCAGCAAGAGATTAAATCAAGGAGAATAAAAGGAGAAGAAATTAACACGTTTTGTCTCATTCTTTAAATTATACTATATTGCAATATGTTTGCTGCTATGTGTCTCAAATACTCAGGGACCTCACACCAGGCCTTTCACATTGTGCTGGCTGCAGGCCACATGTCACCATCCGAAGAGGCAGTGCAAGAGGTGAGAGGCCTAGGGCCCAGCTACACATGGAGCTTCACTCACAGATACCACTCCCAGGATAGTGAACAAGGTCTCTATGGAGTGAATGTCTCCATAAATCAGTGATAGACTCAGTCTCTCCACAAATGAAAATCTCAATGATCTTAAGTCAGTTCAAGTTTCTTGTTATGCTTTGTATTTATCATATGATAGAGTAATAAGAAAGATAAGCTACTAATAATCATATCAATACATTTTAATGGTAATAAAATTTCTTGCCCTGTTTTTAACATATTTTATGTTTTCCACAGCACTGCTGATTGATTAAAACTCTGACACAGCATAAACTTAGCACAATTATTTGCAAATGTCAGAAATGCTTTTAAGCCAAATACAGTTTTGCCATAACTATTTACTTTTGCCTAAATTTAATACTTTGTGTTCAATATGATTATTCTGTATAATATTACAAAATAGGTTTAGAAAAATGGATAACTGCATAGTACTGAGTAATTATAAAGATAGTTATCTTTTTAAAAACAAAGAAATTCAGTTTTGTTTCTGATACTATTTAGATTTCTGGTAGTATTTCAGGACTACTTACTGATAACCTGAACCATATTCCCATCTAGAACCAAGTGACCCTAAGAAGCAGAGTATTGATTTTATATTTTGGACATCTCATGGTGCCAAACCAAAGTCCAAGAGGTGACTAAAACTCTGTGAGCCAGGTTTCTGCCCCAGGCCTGGGAAACACCTGCCTTGCAGGCTCACAGAGGGCAGAGCTAGACTTGGTGTCAGGCCGGAGGGGAAGGAGGCCACCATACAGAGCTGGACCCCAAAGGGACCCTCAGCAGGAGGAAGACTAGAAAAGTAACTGCCCCTAGGAGAACCCAGGAAATGAATCATCTAAGCCACAGTATCAGGAAAAGGAGGAAAAACCTTCTCCAAGAAAAATAAAATATTGCCAAGAGGAAGATAATTTCAGGATAAAATACAAAGTTATGGGTGCATAAATATACTTCCTTATGAGAAAGTCTTAAATATACTAAAGTTTATAAATACACAATTGCATATTATGTTTATAACTGTGTTAAGCATTAAAATATAACAGTTTATCATATATATTCTGTTTACATTGTTCCTATTATGCTTTGGTAAGTAGAGGAAGGCAAACTTTGAGATTATAACATTACCATAAATCAAACACACTAATTTTCCATGTGAATATTTTCTAAACAACACACAAAACATCAAAGTATTAAAATTCTATCACCTTCTTGCTACAGAGAAATTGTGATCCCACAATAAATCTTAATGTTTATATAACTGTTCTTACTGAAGGTTTGTCCTAAAACATATTATAGTTAGTTGTAAAACACAGTATGTCATATAAACTATTCTGAAATAAGAAGATCTATATTAATCAAAACTTTAAAATTCTACTTCTGGGGCAACCCCCTTGGGGTCCCCTCCCACTGTGGAAACTTTTCTGTCTTCCCAATCAATCCTGCTTAAAAAAAAAAAAATCCCCTTCTAAGGGGTGATCTAAATAGAACATATGTAAGAAGAAAAGTTACAGAAACAAATGAGTTCAGTTTCAGAAGACAGAGAAAGAACTGTGTGACTTGTGTCTTACATGTAACAGATGTTCATACAGAGGTTACGCCCAGGCCCAAGTGCACAGAACCTGCCTGGGGGGAACAGAACACACCTGCCCTAGTGCAGACCTGACACACAAAGTCCTGCAGCACTTAGAACAGAAAGCTGGTGCTGCACGTGATTTTCTTGGAGTGAAAATATAGTCTGAATTTTGGAAAAGCATCTGAACAACCGGGTATTAGTCCAACTATTTGCAATTTTAATATTGGTTAGTCAAGTTTTCCCAAAAACAATTTAATAGAAATGTTTATATATACATACAATTACTTTTGGTATTAATTAAGCGAATAATTCAAAAAGACTTTTTACACTGCACAACAACGTAAAGGCACTTAGTGCAATTGAACCACACACCTAACTATTAAATTTTGTTTTATATACACTTTACAATTAAAACAAATGCATAAATGAACAGAAAGTGTTTTTTAAAAGAACATGAAAAATAGTCCGGGCTTGGTGGCTCAGCCTGTAATCCCAGCACCTTGGGAGGCTGAGGTAAGTGGATTGCCTGAACCCGCGGGTTCAAGACCCGCCCAGGCAACCTGGTGAGACCTCATCTCTACAACAAATCAAACTTTAGCTGGGTGTGGTAGTGCATGCCTGTAGTTCCAGCTACTTTGAAGGCTGAGGAAGAAGGATCACCGGAGCCCAGCAGGTCAAGGCTGCGGTGGTCAGGAGCGTGCCACTGCACTCCAGTCTGGGCAACAGAGTGAGACTCCAACTTAAAAATAAATAAATAAAAATAAAAGAATATGAAAAACAGACTTCTGCCACATAAATAAAGTAGAAGACCATATCACTTACCTAGGAAGCACTTTCAATGTTTCATTAATATAATGTCTCCAAAGGAAGCAGTTCATGCTTTGAGGAGCTGCGATGCAAAAAGTGAGTGCTGACTGTCACTGCCTGTGTAGTGTGCTAATTAGGCATGTAGGCTAAGTCTCCCATAGAAAAGGCCACAAATACCAGATAAAGAAAATGCTTCATCTTGTTAGAGGGAGAAAGGACATTAGGATAAGATATGAAAACTGAAGTGAAGCTGTTGATGGCACTGACGCCAGTCACACAGGCCTAGGGTTTGCACAGCCTCAGAGGACCTGGAGGCAGAAAAAAGGCCTAGATCCCCTACAGGAGAGGCACAAAGACACAGCAGAGACACACACAGCACCGAGACACCTGCCAGCTCGCCTCCCCCTGGCTCAGGAAGCCATGCCATACTCGTCCCAGGCATATCCAGTGGTTTAAAAAACATGAAACTACGAGTCTGTACCACCAAACTCCTAGAAAGCAACATAAACCTCCTTTAATGGAAAGTCCTGCACTTCCATTCAGTTTCTAAAAAAAAAAACAAAAAAACAAACCAAAAAAACCCTACAGTCCAATTGATCTGATGAAAATTGATGCACAAATCCTCAATAAAATATCAGCAATTCAAATTCAACAACACAACAAAGACTATGCATCATGGGGTTTACTCCTGACATGCGGGACCCAGTTTTATACTCAAGTTCAATCATACACCTAATTTTAAATTTTTACACAAACTATTTCAGGTACAGAAACAGAGAAAGCTCTCCCCAACTTGTCCTACAGAGCTAATATACCTCAACACCAAAACCAAACTTGAAAAACAAATCACCCTAGAATACCAATCCAAAAAGTCCTACACAAAATAGCAGCAAAGAGATAAATACAAATGGAATTTATCACAGCAAAAACCATGGTTGATTCAACATAAAAGATAATCAATCACCTCATGTGTAATCAGGGAAACACAAATGAAATCACAAGATACCTTTGTGTCTCTATCTGGTGAACATAAATTCTAGAGTCCAATAACATCCAGTGTTGGTGAGGATTCAAGGTATGAGAGCCTCCAGATGCTGCTAAAATAGAAACCGGCAAACCCCTTAGAAAACTTTTTGCCATTATCCAGTCAACTTGGAGAACCTTCCCCCAACTGCCCAGCAACCCCATGCCTGCTGAGGTCACTGGAGCCCCTGCACACATGGGCACAAGAGGTGCCAGACAGCTTTGCTCACAACAGCAATGGCCTGGAAACAGGCTGATGTTCATCAACAGTAAATCAACTGTGGGCAAATAAACTGCAGTGCATTCAGACATCCAAATGCTGTGTAGCAATTGAAATAAATCTAACAAACAAAGAAAAAAAGGCAAATCACAAAAGAATGTACAAAAGAAGGATCTGAAACTCTGATCCTCTGTAAAATGAGGGCAAAATATACCTCCTGAATATTACTCAGGAGAGAAAAATGTCCTCAGAGGAAGACTGCCCTGAGAAGTTCTGGAAGAAGACAAAAAAAGCCCGAGGGTCAGCCCGAGCCAAGAGAGGAGGGGAGAGAAGAATGGAGAAAGGGATGAAAAAAGAGAAAAATATATTTTTGAGACAATCAGGAATAATGAATTATGGCCTGGCTAATACAAGATACAAAAAATTACCGCTGGTTTTGACATAATATGGCTAGGTAAGAACATGAAAGTTTCAGAAATGCATACTGAAGCGTGTAGGAGCAAAACAGCATGGGGTTTAGATTTACTTTAAAATTCTTCAGGAGAGAAAAAAATGTTCTCACAGTCAATGATTATGGGGGCTCACTATGTACCCCCACTGAGCTGGGGTCCAGAGGAACAGCTTTCAATATTTCAGAAAGTTTCTGAATCTTGGTGATTATGCCCAGTTCAGGACAAGAAGCATCTGGCATGTTCTCTACCACAAGTAACAGGAAGGAGATGAAGGCAAGAAGGAAGCACTGGCAGAGCAATGTAGCCATCCTGATGGGAAAGGGAGCTTATTAATCTCACATTCTTATATTTCAGGGTACATTGTACTAACCAGATCTTTTTTGGCTAGCAGGCTTAGCACTTTTTTCCTCAACAATTCTGAGACACAGTGGAGAGGTTGGTAGGACACAGGAGCTAAAATAAAAACAAAACTGTATAAAACCATGAGAGCAAACACCATACGATAGAACTTTTTCAATGAAGCACACATTTGAAGGACAGTTATAAACAGCTGATTCTGTAGACACGGATATATAATATTTGGAAGTAAAAACTGGCAAGTTTATCCTTATTAATTTTAAAATATGAAAATTAACATATTCCTAATAAAAATGCTGTTTTATAATTGACATTCTATCCTAAAATAAAAGTGTTTCACATGAAAATAAACTACAAACCATTTCAATTTTAAACAAGATGGAAGCAACTGCACACAAAAAATATTTCTTTCAGACAGGATTAGTGTGGCTAGGCGTTTACCCATCCTTACTTTTGTTTCTCAAAATGAAAGGAAAACGAAGCTGCTACCGCTTGATGAGCATACACACGTACCCCACACTCGCAAAGACTACCTGGTGAGCACCGAAAGATGCCTTCCCATGTGGGGGAACTGCGCCCCAAGCAACGCGGCCAGGTTGACCTCCACCACAGTGATCTGCCTTCCAAACAGGGACGTCAGCAAGCAGAGTGCCTGTAGGGATGGGGTTTTGACACAATTAGCAACATCACGGGATCAAGGGAGATGATTAACTGTGCAGCCACACACTCAGCATCAAACCTGCTTCCTATACCCTGTTAGTTGCATAACAGTTACATCATCTGACTGCACTGAACTGTCATTCCTAAGAAACGTTACACACAGCCAGTCAAGAGGATGTAGTGCAGAAGCAAGCACACACCAGCCAGAGAAAACAAGCTCACTGTGCAGGAGGTGGGCATGGTGGAGACTCACAACTGACCTGACGACCACTGGCCTCACTCATCACGGCACACGATCCAGCAACACGGATGCTGAGGCTCCTAAAATCTAAATGCAGCAAAGGCAAACCAACACTGTGAAAGGCAAGTGTGGAAGCTGAGCACTCAGGGAGTCTCTGCCTGGTCTCGTCATGTGTGTTCACCACACCCAGGATTAGTGCCAGGGCTGGGACACAATGCTGAACAAGACCAGCAGCTAGGTCATCAAGCATGAGCTCACACACACAATGTGAGGGTAAAGCTGTGATCGTGCTGAAAAGAAGGATAGAGTTTGTAGTAAGAACCTGCACCTGGACCAAGCTGGCAAAAAGTGAGGTGAATCCTGAGGAGGAGCAGGAACTGGTCAGCCCAAGGAAGGAAATGCTGGATGCTGGTGCCCACAAACCCCTTCCTTGCAGAGCAACAAGGAAGCCCCAGGAGTGGCTTCCCCGATGAGGTGTGGGCCTGGGCCCAGGTGAGGATGCCCACTGTGTCCTAAACGAGGGGGAGCGACAGAGTAAACTCTGCATTTCAGGAATCTCACCACACCCGTGACCCCCACACCAGGGCGGAGGAAAGAAATGTGGGAGGGAGGTCTTGGCTACTATTTCCACATTTCTGGTGGTGACAGAAGCTGAGGAAGGGAGCCAAGGTGGGGAGCAGAGCACCCCTGCTCAAGTCTAGATGACAGAGTCTGGTGCCTGAGAGGTTCTTCAGGTCCAGGGGATTTGGTCAGTGCTGATGGAGGGAGGGAATCGAGTGCAGGAGGTAAGGGGCCTCCATGAGGAAGGGAGGGAGGAAGCAGGGACCGAAGGAGGCTGCAGTTAAATGTTGACTGCCCCAGAGGTTAGGGAAGGGAAATATGCAGCTGTGACCTCTGGAGTCAGCAACACAGAGGTCACTGGTGACCTGAACAAGAGCCAACTGTTGCTAATGATTGAAGGCATCTTATCCTCAAATTCAAATTAGCAGGCTTTCTCCACGAAAACTTTTACTACCCTAATATATGAGCCAAAGGAAAATGAAAGTTGCACACAATTTATATCAAAGATTACTTGCATTCAGAATCTTACCCTTGTAGTACAAAACAGCTTCCAATTCAAGGCTTGCCAAGTTAAATATGAATAAACCAGCTGAGCTTCCAATCCACACACATTTGGTTTTCTCAGGAAGGCTAATTTTTAAAAAGGAAAAAAAAAACCATGAATCTTATCACTGGATGTTCTGTTCTATAGCATTTCACTCATGGCTTCAAATTCAGCTGGGAACATAGTGTCACGCCTCCATCCCATCCCAGCTCCTCTCTGTGGTGTGTACCTCGCAGGACACCCTGTACCCTGGCATTGCAGACAGAGACGCAGCAACATGATGGCCAAGGCTACTCCAAAAGAGGCTGCCTCCCTGTCCTCTAGGGCTTTTTGGGGAGGTGAACATAATTATATAATCTTGAATTCCGGCTAAACAGGGATCCTTATGTTGTCAAATATTGATATTTCCATAGCCCACAAATAAATACCAATAAACGACATGTGGTCTGGGGTTAATTTTAAATGTGTAACACATGGGAGAAAAGGGTAGAATATTGTGATGACCATATCCCCTTTCCAAAAAAGTCCTGTTACAAAGGCAAAGATCTGCCTTGATTTTGGAGAGCAAAATTAAAAATAATCTAATTCCTTTCATTAAAGATACTTAAATATAGTTGACCAAGTTTATCAGCTTTAAGATTTAAAACATGTAATTCTGAGAATACTTACATGAATAATCAATTCAGGAATACTCAAAGAAACAAACATATTGGTTTTATTTTGTTCTTTTTTTGTTTAAGTTTTAAAACAGAGTTTATTAGTGAGAAGAGAAGGGAAAAAGGAAGATTCATGGCAGAAAGACCTGCCATGGGCAAGTTTCCCAAAATGAAAAACTGCACCATCTTAATCATTCTTAGAAAATGAACCTGGCTGGGCACGGTGGCACATGCCTATAAATCCCAGCACTTTGGGAGGCAGAGGCGAAAGAACTGCCTGAGCCCAGGGGTTTGAGACCAGCCTAAACAACTTAGAGAGAACTTATCTCTTCCATAAGTCAAAAATATTAGCCAGGCATGGTGGTGCATGGTGGTGCATGCCTGTAGCTCCAGCTACTTTGAAGACTAAGGTGGAAGGGTCGCCTGAACCCAGCAGGTCAAGGCTCTGGTGGCTATGAGTGTGTCACTGCACTCCAGTCTGGACGACAGTGAAACTCCGACTCAAAAAAAAAAAAAAATGAACCTGTCAAGAATGTAGGAGGTTTTCTTTGTGGGCCTTAGGCCAAGTTTCTTGTACTTACAATCCACACTCAGAATTTAGAGTGAGTGAAAGATCACAGGGTGCAAGTCTCAGGACAGGAAATGCTACTTCAATCTCCTCTCCCAGTTCATCCACAGAAGGAAACTGATGCTCTTCTAGGAAAGAGAATTATTCATAACCTGAGACATTATTAAACACACCAAACAAGTCTAAAGGATAACAAATGAAATACCAAAATGTTGTTGTAAATACATAACGAGAGGGGACCCAAAAGAAACAGGATTTCTAAAAACTTATTTATTCTTACAAATTTAAACTTCAGTCATCTGCAAAGTACTCTCCGTTTGGTGCAATATAACTAATGAGATGCCTTTTCCACTGCTCAAAATAGTTTTTGAACTCATCAATTTGGAAGCCTTTTAGTGCTCTGTCGTTTTTTGTTTCACCTCTTACACATAAGCTGTTGGGAGCCAACATCTACAGCTATGTAGTTGAGGCCTATGAAGGCCCATGATGGAGATCTGTTTTTGACACAAAAGCATCAGTGACACCTATAGTGTTGGTATATGAATAGTGACTTTTTGTATATGTGACATAAAAGCTTATATTATTTAGAAGTAAACCTTTTACACTGTTAGACTAAAATTTTGGGTAAGGCCTTACAGCAGAAAACATTCTGTACTTTAAGTTTCCATTTCTCTCTGACTCTCCGAGCCATTGTTAAGTCTCTGTTTCTCAGGAGTAACCATGCAGCCTTTGTTCCTGTAAGCACTCTATAAGCAGTTTCTCCCAATAGCTAAAGATTAGCAACCAAAATTGTTTTAAGTTTTGTTTTCCTGCCTCTAGCCAGGCAGAACGTGTCTAGTTTCACTACGTGTCAAAACTCTCAGCTTGCCTCAGCCCCTGGCCATCATCATGACAACGGTGCTTTTCCTTGTCCAAGAGTGTGACAACCACTGTTTGATTTATTCACTTAGATCAAATTTTCTATAAGAAAGTTTAGAAATATATATATACACAGTTTAGTTACCCACATATAACACTATGTGAACCTGTGCTTGCTACTTCACTTCCTTCTGCTTGGAATTTGTCCTCTAATATGCCTGTGTATGGTAGTAATGAAACCCAGTTACAGGCCCGTTGGAGAGTAAAACCAAAGTACTCTTACTTATCTCTGGATATACTTTTGCACTTTGGATTTCTGCTTTAAGGTGTCGACTTCAGTGTCCGGCAGACTTCAATGGTAAAGTACACATTGGGTTGTCACACACTGTGGTTAGCGTTTTCTGTCTCTCACTAATTAGCATTTCACGAGGGACTCTGGAGTACAGTGTCTGTGACGGGCTTTGAAGATTTAAAGTTTAAAGCTTGCGAGACACTGAGACTAGTGCCTCTCTATTTTTTTTTTCTGACTAATGTATGTTCTATCATTTTATTATAGGTATTTGGAGACATAGAAAAGTATAATTTTTAGCATGCAACATTTATGGCTGGTATAAGTTTTGTGCTTGGGAATTGTCTCCTGATATGCTTGTGCATGGCACATAGAGATCCAGTCACAGGTGTATCGGGGGACAAAACCTTGGCATACTTTTCACTTTTATAGGAAACATATATTTACATAGTAAGTTGGGGGATGTTGATACCAGTGTCTCTTTCTTCCTTATTTTTATGGATTTAGGGTTTGAGGGACACTGTACTCAATGTTCCTATTTCTTCACTCAGTTTAGGTTTAGTTAAACTGTAATCTTGAGGTACAGTAAAATTAATGTATGCTTGCATGGGAAACATTATGCTTGATTGAATAGTAAAATTTAGTTATTATTATGGTTATTCATTGTACTAAAATAAAAATAGCTGTTAATGAAAGTTTTGTGAAATCATCATGCTTCAGAGAGTTTGTTATCTATTGTGCTTGAAACATGTTAATTTTGTAATGCAGATTTCCACATATATTGGAATCATGCGCCCCCAGCAGAAATATTTCATACTGCTGGAGGTTAAGAAAAATGGTATAAATTCTGGTGTTAAACTGAGAATAAACGGACTCAGTCCTGATCAGACTGATCCCAGAAGAACTGCCTCTAAGTGGTTTCTTCTCGCCGCGTCCTGATCCTCCGATGCAGGTCCAACTCCCCTCAGGTCGGGGCCAGTCCCCGACAATAAGCACAACCAAACATTTCGCTTTGAGGACTTTTTCATCCACGGAAACAAACAAAAAAAGTCACTGGTGCAAGATCCGGGGAATAGGGAGGGATGGGCATGGGGTCAAAAATTGCTGAATACTCAATGTGGTATTGGCAGTGCATTTTCATGGTAGAAGAAACAGTCAGTCACCTGTTTGCCACAACTCAGGAGTTTCTTCTGCAAATCATGATGCAACCTTCTCAAAACTTTCAGATAAAAACTTTGGTTGAGGCCGGGCTCAGCCGGTTACAGGTTGAGGTGGCTCAGCCTGTAATCCCGCGCTTTGGGAGGCCAAGATGAGTGAAATGCCTGAGCCGGCGGGTTCAAGACCTGCCTGGGCAACTTGGCGAGACCTCATCTCTACAATAAATAAAAAAAAATTAGCCGGATGTGGTAGCGCACACCTGTAGTTCCAGCAACTTGGAAGGCTAAGGCGGAAGGATCGCTGGAGCCCAGCAGGTCGAGGCTGCGGTAGCCGGGAGCATGCCACTGCACTCCAATCTGGGCAACGGAGTGAGACTCCAACTCAAAAAAAAAAAACTTTGATTGACCGTTAGATCTGGAGGAACAAATACCAAGTGTACCACAATGGGCCCAACCTCCAAAAGATAATTCCAGTTTTTTGGGGTCCCCTGTCATATTGCTACAATAACACAAATCATGTACGAAGAAAAATGATAAAAAATTATACCCTGTATCACAAGGTAATAATTCAAGCACAGAGTCAAGAAAGAGGATAGGGAAGAAGAAATAGTTGATTCAGAGTCAATTTAGCTTCACTTTCACAAAATGGGCTTAAGATTTGCTTCAGTAATAAGTGGGTATTTAGAGAAGTACTAACGAAAACCAAGATTTAAAGCATTAGGAAAAAATAAGTATATCAGATAAAAGTGAAGTGTGCAGACAGAGTAGGTAGGTGCAGGTGGCATCTGTGATGTGGAGACCAGGTAAGGATGTGGAGGGTGTGGGCAGGAGCAGGTGGCATCTGTGACATGGACACCAGGTGAGGACATGGAGGGTGTGGGCAGGGCAGGCAGAGCAGGTAGCATCTTTACCATTTGGTGTACTCGCCCTTTGTCCCCCCAGTACCCACAGCATGGTGACCACCCATGGGGGCTAGAAGCTGCTGACCAGGGCTCATGCTGTCCTTTCTCTGACCTGCCTCACCACCTCCACACACGTCCCAGCCTTCATCGGCCCATAGCCTCCCATTTGCCTTCCCATCTTGACCTCCAAGGGCCCGTGGTGTTTTGAGGTCACAAGCTTGGGCTCCTCCTCCACTGGGGCCTCTTTCCTCCACACCCGTCTCCGCTCTGTCTGACCAAGGACCCTGAACTCAGAGCCCTTGAGGCAAGGCCCTGCCAGAGGCCTGTGGAGCATAGAGCACTGGCATACACACCTGGCTGACTGCACAGCCCAGACAGAGTCCTCCTGGTGAAGAAGCTCTCTCTCTTCTTCTGGAGGTTAACACGTGCCATACAACGGTAGTGGTGTCTTTCAACCAAACTGAAGATCCAAAGCTGCAAAGGCAAGGCACACATAGACACATCTCCACATGGTGCTTATGACAACGCAGCAAAACCAAGGAAAAAGCACTGGGAGCAGGCACACCATGACAGAGGGGCAGCTTGGGGCCCATGGAGGCTCTGGGACGGTTCTTCTCTAAACTTCAACACCCACTCTGGAACCCTTCCTTCATGCCCACTCCCATGGTCTCAGAGTACCCCCTCACTGACTGGGCACCTGCTAGGAAGCTGACATCGTGATTCTCCCACGTAGGCCTTCCTCTAGATGCTCCCCCAGGCCACTCCAGGGGGCCTAGGACTCTATTAACACCCCACCCCCGGTGACACTGAGACACACAAGGTTACTCTCAGCACACTGAGGTTGACAGGTTTCTTCAAATCACAAGAAAATACAAAGTAATATAAAACCCAAGACCTTCTGTGCACATGTTCCTTTTAGCACTGGTTGAACACTGGAGTGTGATCCCATGGTTCTCACCTGGCCATCAGCACACCCTGTGATCAGCTGCTTACTCTCTGCATCGATGAACATACTTAGAAGAGGATAGGCTGTGGGAAGGAGCATAGGAGTTTCTGTATACACACCTGGTATCATTTAAACTGAGAACCATCAGCTTTTAATATTTCTTGCAACCAAGTTTGAACTATTCTGAAATAATTTCTTCACCAAAAAGTACAAGCTGAAAGTAAATGCAAATTATGGAAACTCCATGAGCAGGAGGAAGTCAGGAAAATTACCCCACAAGAAAGTAGGTAGCTGTCATGAGCCTACCACCACAGGCCCGGAACCCCATCCCAGTGCCAAAAAAAAGGCCTGGTGCACCCTGCCCGTTGCTGAGACACTGTCCCCATAGCTTTGGAACCAAATCCAGAGGGGAGCAGCTGGTGTCCAGTCAGCACTGCGCTTAGGAAATGATTCCTGGGTCAGCCAGACACGATAAAATCATAGACTTCATGATGGAGACAGCAATGACACGGAGGTCTTTTTTTTTAAAGTGTTGCCTAGAATATTATTTCATTTTAAGCTGACTCTAAACTGTCAAGAATTTAAGAAAATTAGGTAAGTGAATATTGTAAAGTACTGTGAAGAGAGTTGTAAGTCCTAAATAAACGAATAAATAATGTCAAAGTTCAAGTTTACAATTGTTCTCGGTAGTCAAAAAATAATTCCACATAATTAATTTCAGGAAGAAGATTCCAACCTTCTTCTAAGAAATGTACTTTACCCCTGAGACGAAGCAATGCATTAGTGCTGTTAAGAAATACCACAGTCTACACATGCATCAATTCATAAATTCACCTCAGGAAGAATGTTGAACCTTTGAAAAGACACAATAGTAACTCTGCCCATCACCAAGTATCTGCATATTCTCTAAGTGGCATTTGCATGTTACTTATCTCAAGAGAGAACCTCATCATTCTAATTTCCTATTTCTGTTCTCACAGGAAAAGAATACACACAGAGAGCAACTAGAACACCAGTCCCACAAGCTGCAAGGAGGGAGACAAATGTGGCAACATGGTGTGACGCACGCCCAGGACATCATGTGCAGCCTACCCCGTGCTCCCAGAAGTACCTCCATCCTGTTCTGTGAAATCATGTACTGGTTTCACTGACCACCAGAAATACAGTTGGAGGAAAGAACACAATTACCCTGGACTCCTGAGCTGTACAAAAACTCAAGGCCTGGCCAGCGGAGTGGGACTGTGGTGCTCTCCTACCTGCACAATGGTCTACAGGGTGGCCCTGTCTACAAGTGCCTTTGTCCTGTGCCTTGTGTCCATGGGGCAACAGAGGGCTGGGTCTTCCTGCAGTGGCCAGGAGTTTCATCTGAGAGCAGATCTGCTTTGCTCCTTTTCAAAACAGAAAGGCTTATTCTCCAAGCACAGGACTAATCTAAAGTCACAAACTTCAAGGACATTAACTATGAAGTGAATCCTTTCCATATGTGGAGGGAGTAAACAACTCTGAGTGAGGCTGTCGGACCCACCTGAATGTCCCCGTCCACCTCATGGAATACCACATGCACTAGGAGCCTCTGGCTACACACAGTCCACTGAATATAGGAAAGGTTTTTACATTTACCTGACAGCACAGATGAGGTGTATATTAATGATCCCATACAATGGTCCCAGACCTTTGGACAAACACAGGATTCTTAAGAAGAAGTAAACATATTGCCATTATTACAATAGCTTAAAATAAGCATACAAATCATAAAACTGTGGAAACACAATAAATATATCAGAATCATAAAGAAAAAAATGAACATCATTTCCATATATTTAATCCTATGGGATTTTAAAAATTGGAAGCAAAATAAGACAAGGTTAGAAACCTTTCCCAGGTACTTAAGCACCACTGCCAAGGTAGAGGTGTAAACAGAAAAATGCTGCAGTCCACACCATCAGGTGCACACTCATGCCAGTCCACACACCGTCAGGTGCACTCATGTGTCAGTCCATATCCTGTCAGGTGCACACTCCTTTGTCAGTCCACAGTCAGGTACATACTCGAGTATCAGTCCACACCCTGTCAGGTGCATCCTCGTGTCGGTCCACACCCTGTCAGGTGCACACTAATGTGTCAGGACCACATCCTGCTGTGTACAAACTTATGTATCAGGTCACATCCTCCTGGGCCAGGGTCAAACCCTCAAGTGTTAGCTGGATGGAAACTGAATTTGTGTTTTATTTTCCTTAATTCAGAGCTTAATTCAGTTCTGACTGACTCCTCCACTGCTGAAACCTGGCTCTTCTGCCCTGGGTCCTAGGATATCCTGCAGACCTGCACCAATGCTTGAGCTCTCCAAGGCCTGAGTTTGGGAGTAGAAAAGCTAGGCCACAGGAGCTGTCCTGTCAGGAATCAGAACCTAGCCCCTCAGCACAGCCAGCAACCCAGTCCAAACATCAAGGCTTCATGCTTGTACTAAAACCAGGACATCAGTCATCTTAGAGGAAGGTGGTTGAAACAGCATTCCTTGTGTGACAGTGACTGCCAACCTCGTTCAGTACCCTTAGTCACAGGTATCTTTCCATAGCACTTGTCCCATCCACAGGCTGCCCTGTGTCACCCCTCACCTTAAAGCTTCTGTCCTCGGACACGGAGATGATGGTGTTTGCCTGCCAAGGACAGAATTCCACCGCAGTCACTGAGCCCAGGTGGCCATGAAGCTCAGCCAGGATGGCCTGAGTCTGAGAGAAGTTGTGAAAGAAGATCAGTGATGGAACTTTCTGGTGACCGTTATTATCAAGGAGTTACATGTATGTCATAGAAAACAGTTCCTACTAAATTAAGTCTACTTTACACGAGTCCTTCTTCCCAACTTGGAACTCTGTCCATAAACCTAGACAGCAACATTCTGCCTGAGCTGAAAGGGACGCCTAGGCAACCGCAGGCCATGGTATCAGTACCACTGGAAGACACTAGCTGCCAAGCTGACCCCACGCAGATGGTAAAGCAGGCATCTCCTCAGCTCCCATCTTCCGGCTATCCACACCTGTGCCCTGAGGCTCTTTTCTGTTGCCTGGATGCCCTAGAGCAGTCCAACAGAGCAGGGTGGAGGATGGTATGCCCTTTATTCCCCAGCCCTTCCTCTCCCTCCCTCCCCCATCAGTTAGAATGGATCTACCCTATGTTCCCTCTCCTTCAGCATCTACTCTCCAATCAGGCAGTTTCTAAGTAAGAAAGGATGGCATGATATGAACACTTAAGAGTTATCTTATCCTTCATAAGTCCCTAAATCCTCCCAGAGTCGAGGTAGCACCCTAGTATCAGTGTCTCAAGCTGGAATTCCACAACACGCTTGAGAATTGGGGTAGTGAGAGCATCAAGAGTTCCTAAAAGCCAGTCATCTCCCAAGCAGTATCCATATGGGACCCCAGACACCTCAGAGCAGAACATTTTTCTTGAACTTTACAGTATTCAGTTGAAACAAGAGAAATAACCCCTAATGTACATGCAGAAAAAAAATACATATATGTTATATATATGATAACAACTTACAAATAGACACTTAACTCTGGAAAATAAATTCATTCATTCATTTTGAGTTGGAGTCTCACTCTGTCACCCAGACTGGAGTGCAATAGCATGCTCATGGTTCACCATAGCCTCAACCTCCTGGACTCAGGTAATCCTTCCACTTCAGCCACCAGAGAAGCTGGGACTACAGACAAGTGCCACCACAGTTTTGTTCTATTTCATTTTTGTAGAAGCGAGATCTCTCTGTGTTGTTACCTAGGTTGGTCTCTAACTCCTGGTCTCAAGCAATCCTTTTGCTTTAGCCTCCCAAAGTGCCAGGATTATAGACATGAGCCACTGTGCCCAGCCTGGAAGATTTTCTTCAATAATACAATACATGGCCATCAATAAATATAACTTAGAATACTGACTATATTATGCCAATTACATCAGATTGTTCAAAATAAAAGGCAAGATTATAACATGTAGGAATAGAGATAGTTATGAGACTGTTAAAAAATGGGCATTTTTATTTTCTGCAATTTTTATAAAATAAAGCTCATTGATTATCTGTAAATAACATTATACCCTGAAAACTATTTAAGTTGTTAAGTCATAAGTCTTTAAAATCAAATTTCACAAACTGCTCACTGGCCGAGCTTCTTGTTAAGGATGTGCTATTTGTGGACTCATCTGATGTCTTGGCAGCCCACTCACCCATGTCCATAAAGCTACTCTCCCCCAGTGACTCTCCCATATGTGATGTGCCTGCTGCTCCGGAAGCACAGAGAGGCTCCACAGTTCACATCCACTTGGAGCAGACTCCCGCTTCCTCCTCTGGAACACTCATGGCTCTCAAGGGCATGGCTGAGGCCAACCCTCGCTGATCAATGATTTCTGAGACCCTGTCTGTGTCTTCCTTCAAGCATTAACAGCTTTAAGTATCTTTCTAGTTCACTTTGGCTTTCCTTTTCCTGAAATAAAGATGTTCACTCTTTCCCTTTTAGTGGTCAGTTTTGTGACAAATGCTGCAGTGGCCTAACATTAATCCACTGAATTAACACAAAATGTTTGCAACAAATGTTCTAAACACAGCTCAAATGCTGGCCTACCAGGAAGTTTGCACAGACTTTTAAGGCAGAAATGATGGCAGCCCCTACCCTAGTTCCTAGACACATTTCCTCATGGTCTATGGCTTAGCATCTGATGTGAACTGTTTTTATCTGTGAGCCTTAGTTTCACAATTAGGTCAAAAATTATAAGAGAGAAACATCTTCTCTTTGTATACCCCAGATGTCCGGCATACACCCGGCCCAAGATTATCACTTAAAATTTCGTGCCCAACCTCTTTCATCAACAAATCTCTTTAAAGTGGATTTTAGCAGGAAAAACAATAGCAGACAAACAGCTTGTGTATTCACTCGGCAAACAGAATCCTCAACAGAGCTCAGACTTTGGATAGTCACCAAAATCAGGTTCAAGCAGAACACAAACTCAGAGGAGACAAAAAGCCCTTCTCCGTGTTCTCAAATCCTACTTCTTGCATTCTCACTTGGTACCACTATAGTAAAAGCTGAATTCTCCA